TGTGTGTGTGTGTGTGTGTGTGTGTATAATCCTCAGTGGTATTCATTGATGTCTTTATCTTCATATTAGGGTACTGCGGGCCTTCCAGGACTTAAGGGCGATAAGGTAAGTGATGTGTTGCTTGCAGGGCTTACAATTTTTAGGAGCACTCCTAATTTAAAAAATGTAAGAGCACAGTCAAAAATTTAGGAACAGTTGAAGTCATGCACAAGTAAGCATGAGAGAACGGAGCTTTTATGACAGAAATCAGGAACATTGTGTGAGTCATGACAAAGAAGTTTACCTTTTGATAAACCAAATACAATTGTAAGATATGTAAAATACAGCTGCAAAAAATAAATAAATAAATAAATAGTTTAATTTACAACAATACAATTACAATACTAATATTTATGGCTGTCTTAATTTATTTGCATTCAATCTTTAAAGCATAGAGCTTTAATTTTTGTGGAAAACCCCACGGAGACCTTAAGCTTTACTCTGAAGCACGCAGCGCGTTAGACTATAAATGTACATAATTCAGTCGTAGTCTTTGCAGTTTTTACTGGCATTTGGCACCTACTGAGTGTTAATTTATTCATGAGCTTCAATCCGCTCAGTTGCACCAGTGCGTCTAATTTTTTTTCACAGACATTTACAGTCGCAAAGGTGACTAATGTTCGCACTGTAGAGCCCTGGCTTGTTGTATATTTTTAGGGCTGTTCGGTCATGTTTCAGCATATTGTATATAGTTCTAAAATCAGAAAAAAAATTGTTTTTCCCCATTTAAACCGGAAAACAACTGCATATTGTGCCCAAGTGCATATTGTCATTAAAGCAAAATACAGAAATAGTAAGACATTTTGAAATTCATGCTGATTAACCTTTTTACTTAAATGTGTTATACTGATTATATAATTTGTAATTAAAAGTAGAAAAATACAGAATAAAAACATTTTTAAAAGTGGTTTTAGACTTTTAGGACCAATTTATTTGTGTTTATTTTGGAATTAAGGAAGCAGGTCTAAAAAGCTAAAACTTTAATACCAGCTTGTCTCTCTGCAGTTAGAGCCACTTCAGTAAGGTTCTGGACAAAAATGAAGTGAACTGTGTGACACACAGAGTCATTATACTTTTTCTCTAATTTTTTCCTCCACATTCAGGGTGAAATTGGTGTTGGAGTGCCAGGTTCAAGAGGAGAGCAAGGAGACCCAGGGCCTAGGGTAATGTCCACAATGACTCCATCTCTTGTTCATTTGTTTGTATGCAGATTGTTATAGTGTGTGTATCTGTCTAATTTTTATAGGGAGAAGAAGGTCGGGCTGGAACAGATGGAGAGAGAGGCCCTACTGTAAATATACTCCTACTTTCCGTTCACAACATTCAGCATTCACTCATTATTTTTTACCCCACCACATCCTGTTTTTTGCACATATTGATGTCAGTCAGGCAGTAACAGTCAGTCTCTCTTGATGGGTGTCATTGATCTGAGCCCTCGTCTAGATGTGGAAAGGCTGATGCAGACAGAGAGGTAGCTGTATGAACACACTGTATTCGTCACACTTTATATTCTGGGCTATGATGTGTTTGTCTCCCACTCGCTACAATTTCAAAACAATTATGAGCCAAGGCCTCTTGCAGTGCTGCACGTCTTCTATCTACAAATGCATACAAATGCTCAGGCAAATAAGATTTCTCCTCTACTCATCTGTCTGTCCCACTGATAGGGTCCTCCTGGCAGCAAAGGAAACATCTCGGTTACTTGCGTAACCCTCGTTCCCTGAAGGAGGGAACGGAGGATGGCAACCCCCGCTGACATGCCGTAACACCAACGCCAGCTGTTTTCCAAACACTCGCGGAGATTCGTCCTGTAGAAGGCTTGGCTCCGAAGCGAAAAGCTGATGTGCGTTTGCACGCGCTGCGGGGCGGGGTGCGCGTGGCGAAACACGCACGCCAACTGTCATTGGCTTGTTTAGTTAACACTCGAAGGTGATTGGGCTCTCGGGCGAGATCTCAATTCGTCAGTCACGACTGACGTAACGTCGAACGTGACTGACTGAAAGGGAACAGAGGAGATAAGGTGTGTATAACTTTTCATCAACTGCTACAATCTGTCTCAGGCTGGTCTGTTACTTTGCTAAAATACATTCCTTTTACATACACGTTTTATAAACTAAACTTTATAAACTACCAATTCTTCACAGGGTGAACAAGGTCCTTCTGGAATCAAAGGTGAAAAGGTAATTTGTTTTTTATTGTGTTTTTGAATATGCTTTGATCATCTTTCTTTATTACACAGCTTCCTGGAATACTTGATTCTGATTGGTCATTCCAATATTTTTCAATGATAGCTGGTGAATTTGACAAATAAACTTTGATTCTTCTTAAGTAATAAAATGATTTAAATGCAAATGAATATTTCAAGTGCATTTATTTATTTGTAGACATATAATAAGCAGAATCATGTACAGAATCATTTATTATCGCAAAATAAACCCCAGTACAGATTATGATGCAAAGTAGCAGGGTTTTGTGTCACACTAAAAGGAGGTTTATTTTGCATATTAAATATATTACACTGTTATTTCTACATATTTAATGGATTGTATATTGCTGTATTTGATTGAGTCTTTAAGGGAGATACTCTGCTGGTGGGGGGACCTCCAGGGGAGAAAGGAGTGAAAGGAGAAACCGTGAGTCGAATAGTTTTGATTAAGTTGTGTCAGGTGTTTAATGCTTTTGGGTCACTTTATGAAAGATTAAAGGCCAATAATAAAGGTTGGGTTGCTGAAGGTCTCTTATCTATTGAGAACATGTGCCTATGTGAAATGGTCATAAAGTATTCATGTGTGTCTGCCTCAGGATCTATAGATTGTTAACGAGTCAGTAAGCAACAGGATAAAGGCAGATCTATTGGGTCGATTTAAACTAATCGATTGTATTGATCACTGCTCTCCTCAGGGGGAGCGAGGACCTAAAGGTGCACAGGGTGAAAAGGGTGCAAAGGGACAGGAAGGACCACCAGGAGAACAGGTAAGAATGTTTTTTCTTGTTTATAATTTTTTAATAATATACAACTACAATAAAATGTTGTGATGCCTAAATCACTTGTGGCATTTAAAACTATTTTAGCTTTTTTATTTTTTTTTATTTAGACAAAATAGTATAAAATTTAATATGGACTATTTATCGGTTATCAGTCTTAACATGAATAAAAATATAATCTTATTGCTATTAGCCACAATTTTAATACTGGTGCATTTCTATATAAAATGGTTATTCTCTTTTGATTTCTTTTAAAGGTTGCTCTTTCAGAACCCATTTCTTTTTATTTATGTCCAAGATGTCTCCTAAAATTCCTCAGGTGAACGAAATATAGACAAAAATAAGAGCATAGAGCTATAAAATTTATGTGGATGGCTTAGCTCAGAAAATTTGGTCTTTAAAGAATCTGATGTGAAATGTTTGAGTATATTGAAATCTCTTTCTTTTGATTACAGACGTTGTTGAGATTTCTTCTTAAACTCTAGAGAAGTCATGTTGGGGTCTCTTCTTAGCGGAATAAACTGAGAAGCAAGAGACTCAATTTGTTCCCCCTTTAATCTCATTGCTGTTTGAGAGAAATGACAAAGATATTTAAAAAGACATCTCATTTGTGATTTTTCTATCATATTTCCAGGGTCTGAGAGGGGAGCCGGGAGAGAGAGGTTCCACTGGCTTCCAGGGAGCCCGTGGTCCTGGTGGTCAGAAGGTGAAAAATACACTCACTTTCCTCACAAATGAACAAGAATAAACATACGCATATGCCTGAATACATTTGGGAATGTTTGCATATGTATGTGTATATGTTGCAGATGTGTGTGAATGCCATATTGATAAAATATTTGCTTATCATTTGCAGGGATAAGCAGAGCAGCCAGGTATCTCAGGAGAAGCAGTGCATATTCTTATTCAGATGCCTATAACATCAGCACATGACTAGCACATATAGTCCCCAGACTCAGCCGTTTCCTCATGACTGCTTTTTTTTTTTAATCTGTCCTCTACAGGGAACACCTGGTAAAGATGGTCTGCCTGGCATGAGAGGAGAGAAGGGAGAGGTTGGGTCCGTAGGTCAGCGAGGCCTCAAGGTGTGTTTATGTGTGTGCGTTTTAATGGTTGTCTCTTTGATTAAAACTCAAGCTGACTATTGCATGCTTTATCGGTAACCTTGAGTAGCCCTTTAGACCAGATGATCACACTGCTTATAATTCCGCCACAGTCTGGATTCCAGGCCATTGTGTCTGACATTCATCTGCATATGTACCTCAGAGCCATCGTATTAAAGTTTTTGTGTGTGAATATGTGTGTGCGCGTGCATGCATGTGTGGAGAAATTGATTTGTCGAGTGCAGTGTGGCACATGAAAGACTCCTGTGTATGAATCATTCCTCTCAGGGATACATGGGCTGCTGCAGACAGTACTAGCTGCCCTTCAGCCAGCGGCAACGTAGACACGCACACTCACATTGCAGATAAGAACTTTTATCTGGATTCAGCATCCCAGATAGACCTCTATCTGTTGTCACTAATGAGAAAGACAGTAATTGAAGGGTGTTTGTGTGGTTGTGTGTATGACTGACACATGAATGGTGCTTTATTCTTTCTAAATAGTAATTTCTCCAGTGTCATTACTCCCTGTAACATTGAGTGATTGACAGTTTGACTGAGGTTTAATGGCTTGCAGGGAGAACGAGGCTCCAAGGGAACATGTGGACCAAGCGGACCAAAGGGAGACAAGGTGAGTAATAAGGAGAGCTCAAGGAAAGTTTTTGTTGTGTCACCATGTTTTGCTGGAAGTGATGAATTGTGTCTGTTCATAGGGGGATGCTGGGATTAATAGCAGACCGGGATTGCCAGGGAGGAAAGGAGAGCAGGTATGTACACATTAATTTATTTATGTGTGAGGCATGTATGCGATTCCTGTCGTTATCTTGCTTTGATGGCAAATTTTATTTCAGGGTGAAGTCAGGTTTCCAGGTCCCACAGGAAGTCCAGGGAAGGAGGGACTCATTGGAGCCAAGGTAAGAGCATATTTCATGGGAAACATAGAATATAGTCTGCGAATGGTCTGAGAATATATTTAATAATAGTGTTGTCACGATACATAATTTCACAATTGTACAGTAATTGTTGATATAATTGATGGAACACATATGCCGTTGAACACGTCAAAAAAATCTAAATATTAATAGAAATAATTAAAACAATTACATGTTGCCTAAGTGTTTCAGGTTTTTCCAAGTAATTATGATGTGTAATATGTACACTACCGTTCAAAATTTTGGGTTATTAGGATTTTTTTTTAAAGAAATTAATACTTCTGTTCAGCAATGATGACAATAAAGACATTCATAATGTTACAAAAGATTTATTTCAAATAAATGCCCTTGTTTGGAACTTTCTATTTATCAAATAATCCTAAAAAAAGTGGATCATGGTTTCCCAAAAATGCAGCATAACTGTTTTTTGATGTTACGTGAGCACTCACTAAGTCAGCATAATAAAATGAAATATCTGAAGGATCATGTGACACTGAAGACTGGAATGTGATGGCTGCTGAAAATTCAGCTTTGCATCACAGGAATAAATTGCAATATAAAATACATTAATATACTGTATATCACAATATTATAAGTTTTACTGTATTTTCATCAGATTAGACTTGTTTTCAAAACATCTTTACCAACCCCAAACCTTTGAACTGTAGTGTATATTATTAAACAAGTAATCAATTGTATTTTATTACAATGTAAAAAAAACTATGAATTTAGTCAGTACATACCAACATTTACGTCACAGTTGGCTCGAATTGAATCTGTACTAATAATACTATATTTTATTATTATTATTTTTATTATTATTTTAAGATTGATTGGTACCAACATACCAATTCTTTTAAAATCCCTTCTGAATAAGCCAGCGGACAACAAAATGAACTATTTTACTGCAACATAGGACTACATACGGTGCAATCCTTCTAATTTCAAAGAATAAAGTGGAAAAGGTACAATCAAAATTTGAACAAATCGTGTAACGTTCATCGGTTGATGTCCAGGGTGACAGAGGCTTTGATGGAGTTATGGGGCCGAAGGGATCATAAGGAGAGAAAGGTGAACGGGTGAGTATACCAACTTCTTTAGCTCCCCTGCTGTTTAAGCCTAACACTGCTGATCTCAGTGAAGTGGCTTATCAAATGTTCCACCTTAAAACATCTTCCTCCTGCTTTCTTTAGGGCCAACCTGGTATCCCTGGCCCCCCTGGTCCAAGAGGAGCAGATGGACCCCCTGGTCTAACAGGCCCTCAAGGACCTGCTGGAGGTAAAGGTCCAGAGGGCCTGCAGGAGCAAAAGGTATCAAACTTACTTTACAGTACTGTATATGTGCAAAGGGACATTTACATAATTTTAGAGCTGCTATTCATGTCTGTGTTTCTATAGATTAGTTTTTTTTTTCAGCAGGAGGGGTGTCATCAACATTGGACCACACAGCATGCTTTTTAAAATTATAATAGGCCTTTAAATTAGAATACAGTAAATAACAACAAAACTTTGATGCGGATATATGTCTGTAACTGTATCTCTTAATTCATGCTGTCATATGGATATCCAGTGAGTAACTGAACTTTCACTGACATTACGAATGTGAATTTTTTACATTTTCAAAAAAATACACATAGCACAGTAACGTTCTGGGCTCATTTTGTCATAACCGGTGGTTCAGCGAACAATTGAGCAATTAGAGCCGATTCAGTGAGGATGTGAGTTGTCGTACCAATTTAGTCCATGATTCAGACCATTTACTCTTTTCAGACTGATTTGTCAGTTAGTTTGACAGATTCATTACAGTCTTTCTCTTATCACATATAGTACAATTCTATTTATTTTATATATTTATTTTTTTCATTCTTTTTTCATTTTTATTATTTTTTTTGTTGTTGTTGTGATATGCTTTGTATTGATTTAGAGCAGCAGTGCAGTGCTGCTCCTGAATAGCATTTCAGGAAACACTGATTCATATGCACAAGAAGCCATGGTTAGTTCATCATATGTGAGATATTGTATATTTATTGTAGGGAGAAAGAGGTCCTTCAGGCCCTGCTATGGTTGGCCCACGTGGCATACCTGGGATCCCAGGAGAAAGAGGAGACAGGGGACTACTTGTCCCCTGCATTTTTTCTCCATACTGTACATCTGTCATCACTAAATGTGTCCCTTTGTATTTTTGTATCAGGGTGAGATTGGCTCTGATGGACCTAAAGGAGACAGAGGAGAACCAGGCATGACGGTCAGAACAAACAGACGTTTATGATTCATGATTTATTGTAATGTCATCATGCATATTTTATTCTGCTACTTGAGTTTTGTTGAATCCTCAAGATAAGTAACAATGACACAAAGACTGCTTGCATCTCTCTTTGCTCTTAAAGGAGGATGAGATTTGGGCTTATGTTCGAAGTGAGATGAACCTGCATTGTGGTGAGTGGATAATCGTCATTTATCTCCATCTGCAACAATTTTCCATCATCAATGATTGTTTCACATTTTAAAGTCCATAAATCAAAACAAATCCTCTACAGCAACTTTCATTTTTGGAGCTATAAGCTGCACTGCATGAAAAATAATATTAACCAATTGCCATTATTTTGGCATTGTTTTAAACTTGATTTATGGTCTGGCTTCAATGTCATACGGAACAGTCACGATAAATGAAATATGGGATGAAATCAACATCTGCCTACTTTTTTTTTTTTCCATTTTATATATATTTTTTTCACTTGGGAATACATTTTACAGAAGTATGCTGATTGATGTTGATTTTAATTTCTCTTGTATCAATTCAGTTGTCTCTCTTTTTCCCTAAGCTTGTGGAGGTAAGTTGTGACTTATATAGCCTCAATATAGCCAGTAGACATTTTCCTATCATTGCATCAGCAACTCATGTGCGCACAATACACTAACAGTAGGCTTGTGTAATCTCAGTCTGTATAAACCTTGAGTATGTTCGTGAGAATTTCTGGGTTTTGTGCATGCTAAATTGTTGATGTAGTGCATGAACTTTGGGTACATCTTTACACGCATGGATGCTTGTGTGAGTGTGTTCACTGAGGGGTTTTACTATCTTACGTTTGTGTGATTCGTTATGGGCATGTTCTCAGGTGTTCAGGAAGTTGAGAAACCTGTACAAGTGCAGGCTTACCGAAGCTCCTCCACATCCCCAGAGCACTCACTAATCCGAGGGGACGAGGAGGGTGAGTCCTATCCTCAGCTCATCCTTTATTCTCCGTTTATCCTCCTCTCTTCTAAACTAAAAACTCTTGTCACTCTGTCCTCTATTTTTTTTTTTTTTTTGAAAGGGCTAGTTTAAAGAAACAGTTCACCCAAACATAAAAATTCTGTCATACTTTTACTCATACGTGGAAAACAAAAGAAGATGTTTTGAAGAATGTTCACACTGATTTTTTCCATACCACAAAAGCCCATATGACTCATGTGCCAAGTGCAACTAACCTATCTATCTCTTGCCCTTGTGAAAATGAAAAGTGTGCTTAATTGTATTGAATGTTCACTTGTAGCATACATATAGCATTCATAGCATATTTTTTGTTGTGCTTTAAAGAATTACACTTTTTGATGTGTTGGCTTACATACAAAAGCACATATAAATTTTAACTGTAGTTTGTTATTCAGTATTACATTAATGTTTTAAATGTACTAAATTGCATCTTCATCATTGCAAATGTGTAATTACCAATATATTTAAATACATGACATAAAAGAGTTTGAATAGAAATGACATTAAATGGTTTTCACAGGCAATTAGGTATCAAAGAACATTGCATTCAATTCACACTTAAGCATATTGTTTTCAAGTATATTATTTCTGTAATAAGTACTCTTTTGTTCTTTTTTTTAAGTATGCTAAAGTGTACTTTTTCACAATGGTAGTCACTCTGCGTTGTTAAAAAAAGCAGTGTCGACATTTACAAAACATCTCATTATCATGTTCTATGGAAGGAAGTAAATCATACAGGTTTGAGACAAGGATGAGTAAATGATGACAGAATTTAAATTTTTCTCTTTAAACTACCCCTTTAAACAGAAACAATGTTTCTGCCTTAAACATAAGTGGGATATGTTAAATACATGCTTGTATTTAACATTATCCAGTTGCACATGTACACCGATAGCTTTCAAACTACGATATCCCAGCATTCTAAACTGATTTCCAATAGCCTTCACATTCTTTGTTTGTGCATCCATGCACGTTTTTTTGCAGGTCATAAGCTGCGTGTTGTGATGAACACAAACGATCCAGACTACGAGCACATTTACTCTATAGAGACCTATGATGATGATGCTCCAGTGGTGGAGATTGCTGACTATGACACCACGGTCAATAAAAGCCAGGGTATGCCAATTTTTTTCCTGTAGAAAAAGTTTGTCTGTAGCTTTCTGCGTAGACATAGTATAATATATGGATATTTTGGCAGGTCAAACCGTCTCTTTTGATTCATTAAAAGCTGAAAGGACAAAATTTGAGGTGAAAGGTAAAGGTAAGCCACCACTTCTTATTTATTATGGAGATTAAAGGCTCCATTCAGTCATCTTTACGCAGTATGTTGGGGAGCCTGACTATACCATTACTGTGGAAATAACAGTGTCGATGGTGCATATTTTATTCTCCACATTTTACTGCTTTTCCATGTCTTTGTTGGGAATAAAGTGCTTAGAAATGCTGTCTGTAGGAATGTATTAAACTTTTGTTGATGTCCCCGTCTTCAAACCCCTAACAAAACTCTATGATGATAGATTATCATAATTTTGCACTCTGTAATTGCTGCAAACTATTGTTCTTTGCTGTGCTCACTTCCTGTTGTTTCTCTGTGTATCATCTGCATGCTGTCAACCCGCTGACTCATCTGTATGACAGCTCTTAGTATGATATTGCAAGCAGCTGTCCTGCCACAGAAAATAGCTGGACATTTCTACAGATCTCCGTGGTGCTCTGAACTTTAGAGAGATGCCATAATGACAAGTTTAAAAGTTGAATATGCATTTGTGCATTTCAGAGATGACTTTCGCCATATTGTTCAATTTGCATTAATTCAGGATAGAACTTTTGTAGTGTTTTCTGTGGAGCAAAATAAGAATTGGTGTGTATCCTTTACCATTCAACCATTTAATTCTTTTTTTTAATGTGTGCTTTTAGACTCCTGCATCTTGCCCATGGAAGAGGGTAATTGTTCCCGCTATACTCTGCGCTGGTACTTTAACTCTGAAGTGGGCGTCTGTAGACCTTTTATCTACAGTGGCTGTAGAGAAAATGCTAACCGCTTTTTACAAAAGAAAGAATGTGAGAAACTCTGTCTACAAGAGTAAGAAGGTACATTAACACGCACTGATTAATACAAAAGGCTGAAGGTATCAAATGGTGCAATAATGCATATAATGATAATGTAAATAAATTATTAATTGCATGGGATAGAGATGTGATTTCTGCACTGTATCTGTAAGAGTTTTTCTCACAATCCTATCTATGTTACAGAATTTTGTTTTAGCTTGAAGACAAGAGTTGACTGTAAATGGAGGATCACTAACTCGTCTGCAATATGAAAAAAACCTAAACCATAGTGTTTAACACTGCCATCATGCACAAGAGTTCAAGGTAAAGATTGATGTCAACACCTTTTCCTCAACGGGACAAGCAAATTTTAAATATTGATCAGGTCTGGGTTTTTTTGTTTATTTTGTGTCTGTTGAGCTGCCAAACATCTGTTAATCTTCCTGCCAACCGGGATACATTGTTATATATATATATATATATATACACACACACATACACACATTACTTGCTTTAACACATGTACCTTAGTCCAGTCAGTAACTGCATACAATATTATCTTTCATATTTTCTCCTTGATGTTGCATATTTACACCCACTGACATTTTCTCAGGTGCTAAAAACAGAAAGTAGAACACACATTGTAATATTCTTAACAAATTCATCTTAGACTTGTTCGTAGAATAAGTCTGTGCTGTACAAAATTGTACTGTAAATGTAGATCTGTATTTTTATCTGCTTAAAAATGAGAATGAATGTTCTTGTATTATTAGATGCTGCATGTTTGCTTGGACAAATGGTGCTATTTTTAAAGCTATTTTTATATTTTTGACTGATTTTAATGTTTTCATGTATTCCGTTCATTATATTCAGTGTTTATTTCCATTATAGTATAAGGATTTTACAGTCCTGTTAATTTTAAGTGATGTTGGAGCAATTTACAGTTTTCTTTGCACAGTTTTAATAGCACATAAAAGTTTTTCCAAATATGCATTCATACATTGTAAAGTGATCTTTTTCTACACGTGTTCCGTATTTGCTTGAAATAAACATTGAAATTTAAAAAACATTACATTGAAATGTAATAAAAAATAACATGAACCAAGACATAAATGTCTATTTAAATGTGATGGACAAGTCTGAATTTAATGGTTTGGAGCTCTCATTTTAACAATGAATATTAACAAGTGCAGATCTACATTTGACTAGCCTTTTATGTCAACTAGAGCCTTATTAAAAAGGTCAGTAACCACCTGTAGTTTATTTAGACCAGAACTACATAGTCTTTTCATTCTCTCTTCTCTCTCTCTCTCTGTAAATTTGGTGTTACTCTGTTGTGATGTCTTTTTGGGAGGTGGGTGGGGTGTTTGTTTGTGCATCAATCCTAGTCACACTTCTGATGATTCAGTAATGATTCTGGACCATCTTGTTAAGATGCCAGTGTACACTCATTACTACTCCTCCGGGGCTGTCACTCAAACACTGTTTTCATATTCATTTCTACTCATATTTATTCATTGACTGCATTTTAGCCAGTCCATCTGTTAGGGTATTTTGTTTTATACTCTCATGCCTGCTTAAAGGGTTAGTTCACCCAATGTGTGTGTGTGTGTGTGTGGATGCGCGCTCGCGCAGAGGGAGCTGGTTCAGTACATCTGTTACACAGGATAACGGCACTCATGGGTACTCACAGAAGCACAGTGGCGATTTCTATCACCGTTTACCACCACTGAAGGTGCGACATTTATTCCCGGCACGTACCTGACAGTGGACTGTCCTGAAGCCCCACGGAATCTCGCGCTCTAGTAGAGTAAGAGAGAGAGAGTAGCGCGCGAGCTTCACTGACCGCAGTGGAATGTAGCGGGGATCCCCGGCGCGCGGGACAAGGTGAGTAAAAACCTCCTTGATGCATCTTCACACTACTCACGAGTCTATTGAGTTTTTCACTTAATTGTCATTCGGTTCCATTTTACCATCGCTCTTCGTTCGTTTTTGGCTGTTTAAGTGGTACATTTTGGCAACGCGCGCCTGGGAATAGAAATTATAAGACACAATCAGCAGTGTCGTTTGATCTGGACTCGACTACTAATATTCCTTACACTGAAAAAAGAATTGGCAGCAATGTCATATGCGGGGTATGTCGCCACTACGGACGATTTGTTACCGAGCAAATCCATGTGTTGCCTGTAATCTGCAGTCAGCCATATGAAATTGAAGATGTCATTTGAATAGCTATATTGCATATTTTTTTCATTAGTTTGAATAGCCATTATTGTCAGTCACTATGCACTCTTAGGCTTATGAGTTGTTTAATATGACAGTTCAATTTGCATGAGGGCACCATCCTCTCACACTGATGCTTTCAAACACAACTGAACACATGCACATGCTCAGACACGTGACTCCAGCAAATTATTGAGGGAAAAAGAGTTAAATATGCATGCAAGATATTAATTATCCAAAACTAGAACTAAAACCATAAAAAAAATTTGTCACTTTAAAAAAAATCTTTCAAAATGTAACAAATTCAGCAGCCAAAGCAACATTTCTTTGATTTAAATTGATGTACTAATAACTAAAACTGAAATAAAAACGAACTAATAAACTATATAGACATATAAAAAAAAACTATAATAAAAATGTCAAAACACACAAAAAAACACTTGATTCATTTGATGAATAAATGAATTTGAAAACAGAAAGTACTAAAATAAAAACTAATTAAAAATATAATAATAGTATCTCGGTACTAAAATAACACTTAGCTGCAGTGGAGGGGAAGTTAATTTTGTTTAAATTTAAATTATTCATACAAAGCTATCATATGACTTCCGAATGCTTGGAATATAGCGAACATATAGCGAACGATTCACATGTTTTTATAGTATTCTTTTGCTTTTGGAGCTTGATGTAGGATCACTATAATCTGTCAATGTATGGAAAAAAAGAAAGCTCCACAAAGAACATGTTTTGTCTTCCGCAGAACATTCTGTTTTGGAACAACATAAGGTTGAGTAAATAATAAGAATTTTAATTTTCAGGTGAATTATTCCTTTAACAGGCTACAAACCAGCGTGGACAGACCAAATTGGCTTGGAAAACAACAATAATGAAATAGAGTCTGATAAATGGCAGAAAGAGCTGAGACAGCATGGTTAGTCTAAAGAAAGATGGATGGATCTCAAGCATAGCATAATGATGGATAGAGGGTAGGAGGTAGAAACAAACTCCTCCAGCAATTTCACAACACGGTGTGCACCTGCACCTCCCACTCATCTCTCATTCTCTCTCTTTCTCTTTCTTTCACTATTCCTTAGTTTTTTACTTGCAACGCCGTGATCTGCCATATCTGACAAAAGTCAGTCTTACTTATTTTTGTCTCAGTCTCACTTCTGTGAGCATTAGATGTTGAGCTTCAGTTATTTGTACTACAGAATCCGAGCCCTAAATCTATGTCTTCCTCCGTCACTCAAAAGTTCCACTGCAGTGACCTCTTTTCATTACCAGCATGGCATGGGGTGCATCGGCATGCCAACCGTATTGCTCTCCCCCCTCTCTGCAGTCTCATTGTGTTAAACATCAAAACTTTCTTTCTGCGGTCATTATCACAGATGTGCTCAAAAGGCAGAGTCTGAGCCCCACTTGAACAGCCACAGCTGAAAAAAGTCTCAAATTTTGTATTTTGACCACCCTTAAACTGTAGACCAGTTGCCATAGTAACAACCATCCTAGAAATGGGATCAGTCTCAAGTCGAACTCATTTATTTATTTATATATTTATTGTTTTGTTTTTTTTTGAATGACAGGCTGCTGTGATTGCGCAGCCAATACTTTCAGATCTGCTTGTTTGATGGCATGTATTTTAGATTTTGTGTTTATTAGAACATTAACCGTTTCTTTAACATGATCAATCAGTCCTTATACACTACCATGTCCATAGCCAAATTCATCAAGGTTTCAGCAATCGTTTGTGTCCTTGGTCTTTTGTGAGTGATCGTTGTGTGCTGTAATTCATCTGTCGGAGTAGTTCTCTTGTTGGACAAAAACTTGGATGTGTGCAGGACTGTAGAATCACACATACACAATCGCTCCTGTGTACATCATACTCATCTTTATTGTCCTGTCTTGCTAGATCAATACCTTATTACAATTCAGAAGGACAAGTCATACCCCTATTCCACCAAAATGATGCCAGTGCTTGGTTGGTTGCATCTGTGAATCTCTCTTAGTCCCAGCCTGCATTTGCTCTGACTTGAATGAGTGACTATGACGTAACTGACTATGATACTACTAGGGATGCACTAGTAGTATTAATATCCAGATATTCAACTGGCAGATATTCAACTTTGAAACTATCAAAATAAATTTTAAATAAAACAATACAAATCTGTAAATGTTTTTTTTTATTATATATAAAAAAAAATATTTATATATAAATATATTCAAATATATTTTATAATATATATATTTTTTTAATATATATACATTTAAAAATTATATGCATAAATAGATAGATAGTTGGTCTTATGAAGTATTCTAATTGGTGGGTTTTTGTTAAATGTGAGCCAAAATCATCACAATTAAAAGAACCAAAGACTTAAACTACTTCAGTCTGTGTGCATTGAATTTATTTAATACACGAGTTTCACAATTTGAGTTGAATTACTGAAATAAATGAACTTTTCCATGACATTCTAATCTATTGAGATGCACCTGTAGATAGACAGACAGACACAGATGGATAGATAGATAGATATAGATATTACATTTTAATATTATTTTGTCAAAATAAAAATAAAGCTCTAAAGATAAATACCCAAAAAATGCTTTTAAATACAATGTATTAAATGCTATTTTTACATTTTATATACAGGATAGATAGATAGATAGATAGATAGATATTAAAGGTAAATAATTAAAAACAAATGTTGTCTTTTATATTTATTATTATTTATAAAAATACATGTTTTTAATAAAGATATACATAATGCATAAGAAAAATCTGTCACAGTGGTGGTCAGTGGTCACTGGTCAGTGGAAAAGGGGTCACAGTGGATCTCAGTGTGCCCACCTCCAGTAAATACTGTACATTTTGACCTGTTCATTAAACAACAGAACGTGTTTCATTCTGTTTTTGTCTTCCCATCATAGAGCTGTCAATCATTCATCAACGCCCCAAGAAAACAACTGAGTAGGTGGAGCATGGCCAGTGGGAGTGGCTGGCGTTACTATGCCTGAAGGCACGTGGCGATGGTGTCCATGGAGACAGATGGCAGCTTCACTGGGGTCCATGGTCTGTCCCTCTTACAGGCTGAAGATAGCGTGGGGGCCGGACTTCCGCAGCAGGAGGGGACGTGGCTCGGCTTCCGGGCTACAGTGAGTGCTGTGCTGCTGCTGGAGCTGCTCCTGGGGGTGGGTGGCAATCTCACCGTGCTGGTGTTATACTGTGGTCACTGCAGCCTGTTGGAGTCCGTCAGTCATGCCGTCACACTCAGCCTGCACACCCTTGACCTGCTGCTCTGTCTCCTTTGCCTGCCGATCACTGCCACGCTCCTCATCCTGGGTGGAGCCTCGGTTCCTCACCACGCCCTTCTCTGCTGTCTCCACGAATCGGCAGCCAGTTTCGCCAGCGTGGGCACCGCACTTAATCTCCTGCTCATCAGCTTAGATCGCTATGACATCAGCGTCCGGCCAGCCAATCGTCTGCTGACACCTCGAA